CCAAGACAAAAGTGACAGCTCCTGAAACAAACTTCTCCATCTATTAATATTCTTTTACGTGTGGTTTTTTCTTTTCTTTTTCTTTTTTTTTTTAAAATGAGCCAGAGTTCATACTAGCCTGCATTTGGGAGTGTTCTTAAATACCAATCTTTTGTGGGGAGGGGAGAGAACACACAGGCCATCCTCCCAGTGGTTTCCTGTGTTTTGAAAGTCTTTTGACAAACCATAGAAAAACATGAAGATTAGTACTTAATTCCAGCATGTGAAACTCCGTGATGCTAGTGAGGGGAAATAGCTGTGAAACTGAGATTTGGAATATTGTGATGAAAGGAGGTTTTGGAAGGCCGGGAGCTGAATACTTGAGGAGAAATCCTAGCTCTACAGGTGGAAACTCACTTCTCTGAATGCAGATGACATATTTGAGTATATGCTGAAATATAATCAAGCAGGCTTTTTTCACAGAAGTCTTATGTGGTGGTTTTTCTGCTGGCAAGCATTTTTGAAACTGTTTTCATTTACTTTATTTGGCTTCTTGCACAAAGCAGAAGTCAGCTGCTGGACTAAATTTCTATGTCAGCCCATTTGCTAGGAAGACTTGCATAAATTCCAGATGGGTAGCTAGTATCTCAGGTATAAGACCAAGTATAAATAACATGGAAACAGACTGAGGAGGATGACTCAACTAATGAAAACAGAATTAAGGTAATCCTTTAGATCCAATCTGAACACCTTTTGGAGTTTTCATTTGTAATGTTGACTGGAAGATGTAGAGAATACATTCTGGTGGAGGAATAGCTTTGTGAAGAACAGTGAACTGGCCTTCTTTTGATACTGAAGATACTGTACCTCCTGATAGTCTAAGACACCTTAAGAAAAACCTTTGAACAGCTGAAGAGGGTCATCTGTTAAAATCTTAACATAGAATGCAGGGTGTGTGGGTGGTGGGTTTGGTTTTTTTTTTACAATTCTGGGAGTCTTGCTATTACAAATCATCATAGTAGGTTGATGCTGTAATGTCAAACTAGAGTCTAAAAATGATTTGAACAAGATTATAATAAAGGCAGCACTGAAAGTATGTTCTAACAAACGTGGAACCTGAAGCATATTTTACAATAACTATTTAATGCTGTAAAAACTTTGAGTAGTGTTTACTCCAAATGCCAGTCTGAAAAATCATATTGAAACTGGCAGCTCCGTAAAACTAGCACTTTCATAACTTTCCATGTTCTCACAAAATGACTTGGAGAATGGCTCCAACTAAGCTCTGGATACTCACTTCTTCCCGACCACAGTTTATTTTGGAGGGGGGGGTCTTATTTTAGTTACACTGCTATGGTTTGAGGCAGTTTTGATTTTGGGGGTTGTTACTATATTCACAATTGTTTTTCCAAAGGAATAAACTGATTGGATAATTGCCATAGTCTACAGCATTTCGTGATAAACTCTTGCACAGTTTTAACAGCTCTTGAAACTTAGGATTTTTAAATATTGATATATCTGAACTACCAAGGGTTTTGTACTTGTACAGTTTCATTTCTGAGTAATTATCACATGCAAGAACAGATCTGAGCTGGCCAGGACATAAAGGAGAAAGTGTGCTTAACTTTTTGAAAGCTTATAGAATGTGCATACTGCTCAAACCTTGAGACTTTACTAATCCCGTAGTCACCTGATGTTAATGATACTTATATCTGTAAGTGATTAGGCTGTGGTGTACAAGTGCACAATCACTTCTAATCTATTTGTAAGATTTTGTTTCTTGATGTAGTGGTTTACAGCTGAAGTTAATAGCATGGCCATAATTGGTACGGAGGTCTCATCAATGGGAAATCATAGAAGAAACACACAGGGTATGGGTTGGGCACAGATGACAGCACTGCCAAGGCAATGAAGCCACAAAACCCACAAGATATTAGAAAAAGGTTGCAATATAAGCTCTTGTGGAAATCTCTACATGGTTGTCCATAATGCAGAAGCATGAGCTGAACCTCAAACAGGAGGTAACAAGGGGCTGCTAAAATGACTGGGCTACCATGACTTTAAGACTAGGCATGGATAACTAGCTTTAAGTTTAAAGGGCTTAGTTACCACTAGTTAAGATCTTTTTTAGTCTTCTGTTCATGGAATACCTGTTAGGTATTAAATCCTGCCTGTAAAAGCATATCTTTTTTTGGTGTGGCTTTGGTGGGGGAGGGTGGTGGTGTCCTTGATAAGCATTGTGGCATGCTCGCAGAAGGAAGTAGGGCTTGGTGCCACGAGGCTTTCAGTCCTGTGTTCTGGGATTAGCCACTACTAGCTAAAATTAAAAAAAAAAAAACCTAAAAATCTTCACTTTGATATATTTACTTGACTAAGTTATTTCTGTTTTATTCCCTGCACAAGACACTGAGCACAGTGGCTAATAGTGCTTGGGAGGGGCATGCAGGAAACATTTCAAATGAATCCAGGAATCAAAACTTAATTGGAGTCTCACAACAGATTAGTGCACACTTAAAGAAGCTCCTTTGACTGTGCTTGTGTTTAGCAGTGGGAGCAAGTCTGAGCGGAAATCCAGATTGTGGGTAGCCTAAGGAAAGGAAATAATACCCTTTCATGCTGTTCAGCAGTTGTTGGCCATGACCTTGGGTCAGGCATGTCATGAGAATCTGAAGGGGAACTTGATGTGTGTTTTGTCAAGTAACTTCTGTGTAGGCCTTGCAGGAATTCTTATTTCCAGTTTGAGCTAGCCTGGCAAGTTGACCAGGACTGACAGTGCAGCAGTTGAACAGAGCAAGATAAGTGTGGTTCATCTGTCAAAAGTAATGTGGACAAGCACTACGTTTCAAATCAGTTTAAAGTTGCTATTTAAATCTGTTACTGATAGCAGCCACAGAAAAGTGCGTGAAACGTAATCTGCATTGGAGAATTTAAGTAACTGGCATACGTAGAAGTCACCGCGATGGCATGTGCAGCGGTATGTGTACCTGCAGCCACTTGCTGCTCAAGGTGTTGCTCTTCTCCCTTCCATTAGGAGGAGTGGACTGACGATGATCTTGTGGACTCACTGTAAGGGTGAAGGAAGAGGGAATCCTACCACTGCAGAAACTGCGGTTTGGAGTGAAGTGTGTGCCTGTCCACCACACGTTCTTTACTCTCTGTCATGAGGTATTCTGTCAGTTTTCTTTATCTTTACAATAAAGCATGTGACTTTACTAAAATAATTAGTTGTAGTTCCATTAAACCCTCATCCATTCATGGTCAAACTTAATATTAAGAAAAGTTTGCTTTAAGAACTGTGTCACTCAGGGGAGGGTCTCGGTTCAGGAACAGTTTGGGGTGTGACTTCAGCTGCTGCAACACTGCACTTGTCAAACTGGGCATTCAGTGAACAGGGTAGGTGGAAGCAGGGGACAGATCTGGTAAGAGACCCATACCAGCTGTAGAGCAGGATGTGCCCCCCTCTGCCCAAACTTGTCACTGAAGCAGCGACATGACACTTGGTACATTTGGGAAGTTCGTCTCAAATGTACTAAAACGCTGCAGCAACATACTTTACAATATGGAAAGTAATAATCACACCTTTGTGACTTAATCTGCAGCTGTGATCTCAGATTAGGTTGCTGTGACTAACTGACATGAGGGCAACTGAGAAGACTATTTTAAAAATCTTCCTAAGTAGTTACGTGTCTTCCAAACTGAGAGTGAAGTCCATTTCCTTTTCATACAGTGTTTTTGAACACAAGCAGTCTACAACAGACACACCTTACTGCAACTTTGGGAATTTCCTGGTTCAGTTCTCAGCACTGCATTTTCTATGTAATGGGTAAATAGCCAGCCAAATCTGTTTGTTATACTACCTACACCCAGCCAACTAAATCTACAAAATAACCCACTTTATCCACCCTGGTTTTGACAAATCTTTCTATACCAGGGTCATCAGTTGACTAGCCAGGGAAGAAAATCAGATAGCACAACGTCACTTCAGCAAGCCTGACACCATTTACACACCGCTTTCATAATCAAGTGAAGAAAGCATGACTTAACACTGTGTTAGGTTGTGTGCTAAGTTCTGAACTAGTGGGAGGCTACAAGCAGAGCATTAAACTCATCACACACAAAAATGTTACAATGCAGACTGTGACTCATGTGACTGAATAGTGTACAGAGAGTAGGGCAGAAAAAAAGATTAATTACCTTCTCCTCTGAGATGCAGTGTGATACAGGCTTGGCAGCAATAGCTCGAGCAGTGGCTTGAGGGGACAATTTAAAAAAAAAAGAATTTGGGAGTACCAAGGTCTTGCAAACAGGTCTGTCTTCACTAGGCTGTACTAAGAGCATCCCCTCTGTCTACTAAGCATAGTACTCGCGGCACCTGGGAGCTCTTGTTGCAGTGCTGGCACCCACATTCAAGAAAGCTGCCCCAGCTGGAGAGCAGGGCAGCACTGCAAGAGCTGACTGCAAATCTCAAAGACGTGCACTAGTACAACAGCAAAGACCCAAAGATAAGGCTGAACAACGTAGTGTGGCAGGGAATGGAAAAAAGCAGTTCTGATTGATAGGCAGGAGGTACTGCGCAGTTGTAATGGTGTGCAATGCCAATTACACAATTACAAATGCAATTATCTCATTAGTCTTGTCAATCTCAGCACCCTTTTATTCCTTATTAGATCACTGCCTAGAAAAGTTACAAATAGTGATGCTGAAATACCCCTGAATCAACTGCATATTTTGCTGCTAATTTGTTTTAACAGTTTTAACGTCCACTTTCTTGCCCCATGAGAGGTATGTACAAATTGAGGCACGTGGAGGATTCATGCTAAAAAAGTGACACAGCATGAACATTTCAAAGTACATCACGTGTGCGGACACTGTAAAAAATATCCACACCAGCCAAAGTTAGGCAGTTTCCATAAAGAGTTGATCTGCAGCTTGATTTATTTTAAAAACTTAATTTTCACTTATAAAAATAATATTTATGGTAGACTTACAGTACACAAAAGACCAACCAATACATATTTTATAAAATGGTTTAATGAATGCATGCATGTCTGATACAATGATCAATAAATTTACTGAATTCAAATTATTTACTGTTGTAAACATTTTACAAAAGCATTGTGATTTATCTGGATATACAGTTCCTGATGGAAGAACTATTCAGACTGAATCAGTGGCACATCAAAAAATAAAGCTGACAAGACCCATTCTGCATATTCTCTTTCAACATGATTCCAGCAAGAGAAACAGCATGGTATAAAAAGTGTACAGTAAAGATTGTTCCTACCATAACATCAAATTCTGGAAACTGTAAATACAAGTTAAAGTGGTTGAAACAGTCAAAAGTCGTTATTATTGTAACCAGTCAGAAATTACAGTAAGAAATGTTATCCAGTTATATGTAGCTGTCAAAACAACGCGTTTCTTTTCATGTCAGTTGATAATTCTTTTTCCAACAAGACAGCAAAACTTTGGCAATCAGAGGTGCTGAAATTAATTCTCGAAGTTCAGGACACAGTCACAGCATTTTCTTTGCAGAAGGTGAACTGTACACCAAGGCTCAGAGGTTGTGAAAACCGTTTCCAAGTGGAAAAAAAGTGCAAATGTCCTGCACAGATAGCTTAAAAAGCTGCTGGTACAATCATTCACCAACAGAATCTTTGTTTTCTTTTTGCATAGTTCACACATCACTGGGAATGTGACAGGGTGTGCTATTTTTGGCAAGAGCAAGAAGAAAGTGATACTGGTGTGAGTTGCCATGTTGGGCATGCTGGATCCATGCAGAATTCAGGTAGAAGAGGGCTGCTACCTGATGTTATTTGACGCTGAATACTGATTTTGTTTTTGTTGAAGCAGTTCAGTAATAGCCAAAAGCTTCTTAAGAACATGCTGTAGAAAAAGTATCAGTAAAACCACACATTAGCAACTGGAAACGGAACAGTCTTGCTTGAGAAGTGTGTTCAGCATCAGCCTAACAGACCTGCTACTGCGTAGTTTAAAATATACTCAAACAAACAACCCCAGCTGATTCCCTGCTCAGTAAGACATTACTTTCAAAATGGAAGCCTAAACTGGTGTTATGAACTTTGGCTCTCCACCCACAGATGTGTTTGCTGCTTTGTGGTTTAACAGTGAGGCTGAGAAAGTGTACTGCTAACACACTGCGGGGTTTGCTGGAAGAGTTCGCTGTGCTTGTTTACAAAGGTAATTAGGAAGCAGAAATTGGCAGTATCAATAGAAAGCTAACAAAAGTAAATGTATCTCTCAAGTGAAAAGAACCAAGATCTTAAAACTAACAACCCAAAGAGCCTGTCAGGAGACAGTAATTTTGTGGCTTTAGGCTTCCTCTACATACTAAAACTTACTCTGGAAACTTTAAAAAAAAGTCTTTGGTTTTGCTGCATGAAGAAACAAAACTATGGACTAAGTATTTACCTTTACAGCTGATAACTTCCTGGTGAAATGTGTGTATTTTAAAATGTTTATCAGTCATACAGCTAGCCAGAAATACTACAAAAGTATTGTGATATGAAGGAGGGACTCAAGACACACTGTACCGTTTGTTAACCTTTGTTGTTTACCTGCATGACACCTCGTTCATTACTGAGGGTCCGGAGTTCATCTGAGTGTGCCACACAAATCTCGTGCAAGGCCGCCAGATCACGAGACAGGTCAGTTCTAGAGTGCTCTGTAGTGTCTGGAAGCTCAGGAACATTCTTCAAGAAAAGAGACAAAAGCGGGGTTAGGGCGCACAGGAAAAGTTACAGCTCTGCCGACAGAAGTGTTTTATACTGCGAACAAGTACTGCAACGTTAGTTTTTCCTTACTATGAATTATGTATTTCCTCCTCTACACAAGCACACATTTTATGAGTGTACTGCGATTTCTGCTCCTGCTGGAAGGGTTCTCACTAAAAGCTGGCACTGCTACACTACTGTGGAGCTGGCCAGAAAGCTACTGCATGTAGACACTCCTAATCAGTCTCTTCCATTAAATGAGGGGGAATCCACCCACTAGGTGCTTTTTTTTTTTTCAATCTAAATGAGAGAACAGCAGCAACAAAAATTCAGCAACTATCAAGTAACTCATTACAATGGGCATAAAACAATACTATAGTAATTAAAACTGTAGATTAATCCAACAGTTATTTTCAAACCAACAGTTTTCAGAGACCTCATGCAGAATCTGTCATTTATGGAAAACTAACATATCATACTATGCAGAAGTTGCAAATTAACCAGAAAGTTAAGTTTAAAAGAATACAGTAACTGCAGTTCACTTTCAAACTACAATATCTAGAATGCATGCAGTGATACATTGGTAATGCGTAACTGAAATTCAACCTACTGGCTTTTAAAGCATAAAATAAAACTATGACAAATTATATAAGGAAATTTTGCTTTAAAACATATTTTTAAAGATTTGCATTTCTGGCCCAAATTTCTAATTCTCACAGCTATAAAGTCTATTTGAGCTTCCTACAGCTACAGAGGCACTAAATGAATAAAGTCTGAGATGAATTTGATAGTTTTAATTCTGTGTGACAGGCCAGCAATGTGCAGCTTCTAGACATGCGTAAGAACAATTTATTCAGTTATAAGCATTCAAAATTGTGTGGGAGCTGATACAGCTTTGAGCTAGTTAATAAGAAGTGTAAAGAATTTTCATTTACAATGCTGCTATGTAACTTCAGTAAAGATTTTTTTTAACCACTTACCCCAAGTTCATCCAAGAACATGATCATGCGATGTTTGTTGCTCTTAATGAATGGATTTACCCCTTCCATATATGGCTCCTAGTAAATTTTAAAAGTATTCATTAGAGCAAATCAGTGCCAAGATAATTGTCATACCTGATGTGAACACAGTGCAGTCAAATGACACTGCCAAACATCATCTGGAGTGATTTTATTTTTTCCAAGTGAATTTCTAATGTCTAGTGTGCAGACTGCAGAATTTGGTATTTTCTTATATTCAGAAGATTCAGAGTATTTCTTATATATGCATACTGACAAGAATTGCATTAAGACGAATGTCTTTTGACACCCAGCTGCAATGAACAAATGCTCTACTTTCAAAGGTATGATCAGAATAAGTGCCCTTGTTCTTGTTCTTTCAGTAATGCTGACATTCTGAGTTAGGTGTGTCAGAGAAACAACTTCATAATGCCGGCCCGAAGTCACTTCCATTATGCTGAAGTCAACAGATTTGTTTTTCAGCCATGTTTCGGGGTGGGAACCGAGACAGACCAGTTGTTGCTGGCATTCTCTTGGTGTTATAATAGAAACTTTACTGAAAGCTTGGTTTACAGTATTAATTATGCCTGGCAGTATGAAAAAGAGCATGGATAGAAGGGGTGCTTTGAAGTGCTCCACCACAGAAAACACCAACCTAAGGAGTAAATAAACGCAGGGTGAAATCAGGGGAGGGCGAAGAGTCGGAGCTTGGCAGTTCTTCATTTGTTTCAGAACTGGATAATCTATACCAAACTGAGCATTTAAGCCTGATTAATCTCAATCTGAAAATTAATTACTATATATAGGTAGAACATGCGTGTGGAACACATTTCAAGGTTGTGTACAGAAGCACGCCAGTGGTACTGAAAGGTGCCTCCCCTTTGACACCAAATAATGAATAGAAATGCAGAAAAAAGCTGCCATCATCTATTTAAGGCAGAATATTTTTCCTTCTGATTCTTTACCATCACAGATTCCTGCTCTAACAATTTTCAGTTGTGTTTTTGATACAGATACTGTTGTGGTGGGCTGGCTGCCTGCCTTTCCTCTCCCACTTCTTCCCCCTAACGCAGGAAATACCGGAGTACGACTGCTACCTTTTCTGTTGCAAATGGAAAAAAAATAATGCTCTGCATACTTCCTCTGTTGTTAGTGGAACAGATGCCTGCTGAGTTTATTGGTGTTCTCATAGCATCAGCATATGGTAGCACCATGCTCTGTAATATCTACTGGCATGCATGGTCATTTATTCATCAATTATTTCAATGACCCACTGCTGGCATTCCTCCTACCAGATTCAAATTCTTCATGGGATGTACCACATCATGAACCTGAGTTTCTAGATCACTTCCTCTCAAATGATTACAGCTCCTCTTCCCAATTTGACCAGACTTTATCCTACTGCTGTAATTCAGACTGACACCCTGATCAGCTCTAAACAAAGAAGACAGAAGAAATTGCAGCAACAAGGCCTCCTTGCTGATGAGGACAAACAGGAGATGTAATTGGGCTTTGCACAAGAAAACAGCAAAAAATTTTTGCACATATTAAACAGGAGCATTGAAAAGTACTGGAAACATAGTTTTAGGCTGTTTTGTGTGTGTAAAATTATATTCACCTTAGCTCCAAATTCAACCAGATTTGCTAAATTCTGCACAGACTTGGCGACCAGCGTCAGCGTTCTTGCAGCAGTGGGGGAAGGAGAATCTGGCAGGAATACAAAGTAGAGAGTTACTGGCCATTCCATTTAAAATGAACAACAGTCACATGAAAGTAAAGCTCTTCTCCAATTCGTGTTTTCTCATGGTATTTTTAAAGTATTTTTAATATTATAACAGAACTGCATGTGGAAGATTTCACTTGGTGAAGTAAAACTTCTGTTGCTTTAGTAACCTCCACAAAAATATACTAATATGAACATCAGATTTTCTGTAATAGTTGCATACAGAACAAATATGGGAAGTAAGGTGGTGGTAGTAAGAGTCGGGTAAAGTAAAAACCATTTTCATAAAATGAAACAGTTCTGTTGAAAGGAGGATTATTTGTTGTTACAATAAAAAACCCCTAATTTATCTTCAGAATTTAAAAAAAAAAAAACAAAACACGTTTACCTTTTTCCTTGTTTGTGCATACCCACATAAGTGGGCTCTGACGAGTTACACAAATTATACTTTACTGGCATCAGAAAAACAGAGCAAACATTACATGCAATCATGGCTTGTATTTCCATGAAATTAGTGTCACGTGCTGCACAGTACATGAGACTTAACACCTGACATTAACCACTTTGTCAGTTAAATCTTCCTTTTCCAACAAGTTGTATTACCCAGTAGTATCTTAACCCTCCAGTTACAGTAAGTGGCCGGGCTGACAACCAGGTGTGAGGTGTTCCAAAATTGGCATGGTTATTATATAAGCTCTATATTTTATAATTCTTCATAAGAATGCTACATGCTGTTCATTGTCTACCTGCATCTTTTGTTGTTCTTTCTTCCCTTCCCCCTCCAAAATCCACTGAAAAATAAGTTCTAATTTTCCTTGCATAGCTGGAGCTATGCAGCTAATGTCAGTTGTTCATCATCTCTGGTGCTTGGTGCAGTACAAGCCTTTGAAGCAGCAATGCTGGAAAAATTGACTAGCCTTGATCTGGAACTTCAGGTTACAACTAACATAAAAAAGTGAATTACTTTAAACTCAAAGAAAGGATCTAACTTTTGAAGCAAAGATTTGTTTTCAGTTACAGTTGTCAAGGTGACCAGACTGCTGCTGATACTGAGCCGTACCTATACACCCAGCCTTCAGAATACTTTTTTCCCTGTTATGGGAAGAAGGTATGCTGGAAGCTTTGCTCCCAAAGGACTGCCTCATCCCTTTTTTTGATCAGCTCTAAAAGCCCTCCATGGAGTCTGTACGTTTACCTTAGCAGTAGTCAATATTAGCTGGATGTACACGAGCAGGACTTTAATGCTGACAGACAAGCTTAAAGGAGATTACTCGAATTTACAGGTAACTTTTTACACCTGCAGACACAGTGCAACCCAAGTTAGGAGGTACCTAACTTGCAAATTACCTGAAGAAAATAAACTCCTAAAGACAGGATCACTGTGTACCAGACCATGTTTCTCAAATATTTTCTCCAAAGCATGTACAGAAATGATTACTGGGTGAGAGAAAGGAACTTTCTGTTCGACACAGCCCTTCTCATAAGGCAGCTTAAAGCTCATAAGTATAGCTTAAAGAGAGACAATAGAAAGCATGCTACATTATCTTAAGAACTGTCTGAATAAAGAAAAAAAGCGTTTCTGAATGAGATTTCTGATTTCCTCCTATTTCTAAATCAGCATTTTACTGGTAAACATGAAAAAAACTGCTAGGGAGGGAAGGAGGAAGAGCAATGGCTAGTGCAAACTAAAAGCCCTCTAGCTTGGGGTCATCTTTGTCAAGAAAAAAACAACAGGAAACAAAGATGAAATATAACGTATGCAAACTTTTAAAACCAAGCAACTCAGATGTCCCAATATTTTAAGTTTAGTAATAAAGTTTTCAGTAGTTCCTGCCTTTTCTTTTTTCCTCCCACCGAAGTTAAGTTAAAAACACCCACAGACATTTCTAGGTGCTCAAGGCCATTGGCATGGGATAATCCATGCCCTGTTAAAGCTTCGCGACAGGAAAGCCCCACGCCAGCTGCATGCCAGATGCGGTCCCTGCTGTGCGCCACCTCCCAGGCACCCCGGGAACTCCTCGGGGGAACAGCACCGTGCCACAGGCCAGTGGAGCAGCTCTGCAATCCTGTTCTTGCTCTTTTAGTTCACTACTCTAGTGCACTCTACCAAGAAAGCATCAAAAAACTGAGTGAGACTTTACATGGTGAGAACATTCACTTAGGCAAGCCCATGGGAGCTCTCCTATTGATGGCCTTGACGTCAACCAAGATGACCATCTCAAGTCTGCACAACCTACCCTTTCCAAATACTACTCCCCCTCTCTTTCTCACCTTTAAGATTCTGAATATGAGATGGACTGTACTTAATGAGTCAAAGACTTCTCCAGTGGAAGCTATCTAAGCAGGATGTCCAAACAAGTTATTCAAGTGTAACTTTCTAGGTGCACAAATGTATTCTGAGCTCTGCAGACACATTTTCAACTTTATAAATGTTGCTCATTTAAGAGATACCATTGAACTTTAGCCGGTAATTTTGGCATTGCATTGTATTCAAAGTGACATCTGAAGATCACACACACATTTTTCACACTGCTAGAGTATATTCCACATTGATAGACTTTAACTCAAAATTGTATTAAATACCACAATGCATGTTTTTCTGGACTTTAAAACAACATTAGGGATTACCACAATCTAACTTCTGAGGGTGAAAAGCATATGCTGACTGCCTTATGGCAGTCAAGTGAAGTGGGTAGCATAACTTTGGACATAGCATTAAAAAAAAACTTATTCTTTTGCTACATTAGACACTAATTTAATGCCTACTAATGTATGAAGTATGAATTCAATCTGAAGCATATAGTCACCTGAGATGATATTAAACATCCTTGGGTTCAGGATAGCAGGACAAATCAGTCGAAGAAAAACAAAGCCACTGAAATAGGAAGAAAATTGTATTTTGTTCAATAAAATTAAAGAATGAATGTAAAATTGTGTAGTTTTTAAGGGTTCAAGTTAGCATGGATTCTCTTTGAGGCAGACACCAACCAACCGGCCTGTGCTCTGTGAATACGTTAACAAAGAATGTCATGCTATGACTTCAACTATGATAAAAGCTGGAAGAATAGGCATATTGATTTCCCAATTAAGGTGAATGGTTGAAACCACATTGGAAGAACTCAATTGTAAAGCCAGTATTGGCCCACACCAGCTTCAAAAAGGAGCAGCCCCTGGTCTCTGACCTCCCAAAGGTTTTCCATTGTCTGCTACAGCAAGGCATCCATCTCGCAGCCACCGGCTCCCCCACGCCAATGTAAGGAGCAGCGCAGGAGCGGTGGGCAAAGGGAACCTCTCTTTTGGCAGCAACACAGCCTTAGGTCACTTTAAGTCCATTCATATCCTGACGACAGGATGCTACAGTAGAAAAATAGTAAGGGATCTGCTACTTTCCCCCCTGAACTAATTGCTGCCATCTAGAAATCTGGGGAAAAAGTGCTCTGTTTTGACTGCAGAACTGGGACCTCATTCAACAGAAACAGAATAGCAGAACTTCAGTAGCATGAGAAAAATCTAGCTTTCTGTTAATAGCAGAAGGAAAACACATCCACCTCAAATTCATATGGACCAACTAAAACAATCTAAATCTTCTTTGATTTTGTTTGGAGTGCTTGACTGGTTTATACGACAGCAATACCAAAGCCTGACCACTTCTAAAAGAAGGAAGGAGACCTTATGCTACCTTGCCTGTTGTTAATACACAGTGATGGTAATGTCCATATTGCTTGAAAATGACACACACAGTAGTGAGGTTAACACACCTTCCATATGTGCAAGACACAGAATATATAGTGTTACAGATGTTTCTTCTCCAAAACCCGTGAATTATGGGCTAGTAAGACAACGATTCTTGGCCCTATGCGAACTTAAAATATATTCTATGATACGAATTTAAAGCTATGAGGAAGTAAATAATTTTGAACTCATGGCATGTACACATATTCCTCTTTTAAAGTGCGCAAAGTTGAAGGTCAATGAGGTATGAATCCAGGGATGGACGTTGCTGACACAGAAGACCTGGTGCTTCTTACCCTGGTCAAGCTGCCTAAATTAAGAATGAGTCAGTATCTACATGGGGGTTTTAGAATCAGAGAGAAATGGCAGCACCTTCTGACTGATATTGAAGGCAATGCCCCTGCATAATACCCTGGAAGACATAAGGCTTCTGGCTTCAAAATGATAATCACATGCCAAAGACAAATCCTCTGAAAGACTCCCTCCATGGGAAATTAACTTCAGCAAATCGTATGTCTGGCAGACACTGCAAAAAAGGAAAGATGTGGCCCTTAAAACCTCCAGTAGCTTTAGAAAAACAGTGTCAAGACCACATCTTCATCAAGGATTTTTGTTTGACCTGCACAGCAATGGGCAGGAAGAACTTGTGTATTGCACTAGTGTGTGAATGTTCACTGCAGGTTTTGCGGTTGGTGTGAGTTCAGAGGAGCCAGGTTCAGTAACCTGTGACATTTTTAGAGGAGCTCTGGAATATTTCAACATGATTGGGCTTGAGCAAAGAAATGAAACAAAACTGGGATGGCACGGAATTATGTATTTTCAGAAACCAACACAGAGTGTTAATTCAGAGTGATCAGAACCAGCAGCCCAACACCACAGCCTGAGAGGCTCCTCTGATGCAGAGAACTACATATCCCAACACAGACAGTACCTCGGTGACATCTGACAATGCCCCAGTTGTCTTTACGAGAAGCCATTAGATTCCTTTCCACGTTCGGTCTGCATTTTAAGGGGTGTGGATCTTAAACCATGTAAGATTTCTCCAGCAATTAACACACACTATGTAAGAGTCCTTGGGTAAGGCATAGTCCTCCCAGAAGGCATATGACAGGAACACAATCTTCAGAGATCACTGCTCTCTAGAGGTATCACAAAGGTTAACTATTGCTTTCAGAGTTGTTCTTCTTTCCCAGCATGAAAAGGGAAATTGCTATTTTAGATTAGTTTGTAAATATTGACACAATGCAAGTATATTCAGAGTGAAAACTATTAAGTAAAGCTATACTGACCTCTCTACAACATCATCTTACTTTGTCAAGGCTCTGAGAGTATGATTAAGAATCTAGCAAGATCATAATCCTTGATTGGGATATCATGCCTCAGCATCTTAAGTATCTTAAACACTGCTATAACCTATGTAAGTAGTATACAGTTTTGTCATTGAAACAAACATAGATAAGCACTCTGAAGTATGTCTGTAACAAGACTTGAAAACATTATTTCCAGAATAAAGTGACAAGTAACTTACCTAACAACTCTGGTTCTCATGGTGGTATTAGCTGGCCACTTGTTTTGAACAGACTTCTGTAGACACCCATAAATATACCTCAACGTCCTGCAAAAATCATAGCTAATGTCTCATTCCATTAACCGTACAGAATCAAAAAAGCTGGTCAGAAGGGATCTAGACTAGCCTCCTACTTGATACAGAACTATTATCGATTCTGTGTTTATAATTTAGACATAAGCTTTAACTTAACTTTAACTACAAGTTAATTTGTAAGTTAATAAATTCATAAAAAGTCAATTTCTGAATTTATAAGTTTATATTAAGAAATAATTTATAAATGACAAGGAAAACCCTCCATTAATACACAGTTCTATATGCAATTCAGTGATTATACAGATGTGCATTAAATGTTTTATAACTGTTTCCTGTTTCATAAATACTACTTCCTTTAAAAAAAGACAATTTTGATGTTTTGGGGTTTTTTCAAATGTTTATCTTCTTAACTAAACAACAACAACTATTCTTTCCATAAATGAGGGTTAGGTGTTTAAGAGTTAACCACAGCAATATCTTCTCCCATGAAAAAAATGGGAAAATTGTGGTGTACTTCAGAAAATGTTGACAGCTGCATCATATACTTAAAAGGAGTGCAGCTTTCAGTGCTAACCTTGCCAGCAAACACTTCTGTCCTACTCTGCCATCTCAAAATTGAGGATTTTGTTTACTTCAAAAGCTAATGACACAGTGAAAGAAAACTGTTAGTACTATCCACTTTTTATTAGATGGTTCAAATCTAAACTATGAATGCCAGTTATTTAGCAACTAAAATAAAGGTAAAAAAAATAATATCTGCATTTCTCTAGCACACAGAAGCAATCATAGCATGGTATCATTCCACTATTTCCTGCTTCTATTTTTAATATGCTGTTAATAATTCCATCTCTTTGTAAGAGGAGGAAGCCTGGCAAGAATTTGTTATCAACTTAGATATATATAATTGTCTGCTACCTTTTTGTGGAAATATGATATTGATTAGTTTTATTATTCTTTCCCCGACCTCTTGGGAATTTTCAAATACAAATCTGAACAGAAAAGTGGAAACTTACGGAGGCAGTATCTCTGCAGCCATGAATATTTTCTCCACCAATTCTGAAAGTATACTGAGTAGATGTGCCAAATTAGTGTTTACATCTTCGTTTTTTTCTAACTTTGAGGGATTTAACTAAAACAAAAAGAGAAAAAGATTAAGTTTCTTCTCCTAACTAGAACTACATATATAGTTTCATAATATTACATGCTGAATACCACTTCAAAGTAAATTAAATACTCTGCTTCTGTACAAGTGTTATATAACTCACAAGTCTGTTTCAGTGGCTAGTCAGGAAATGTGAAGAAGCAATGGTTTTAGGTTCTAATGCACTAGGCTTTTAACAGCTCAGATATTCACCACTATCCATCTGCATGACCTTTTTGTCTCTCTCAAACCAAATTTCTGAGGACTCTCATCCTTTCCACAATTAAGTTAAACACAGAGGTTAGAAGAGTCATTTTAAAAACAACAGTTTCAGGATTAATAACAATCATGTAATATCAGGAAGTTTTAAATTAAACTAAAGTTTAGACATTGACTTCTACGATATCTTGAGTTTACTAGTTGTTACTTACGTTAGTACAGAACAGCCTACAAATGGTAAATAATAAATACGTAATTTAAAGAAATTCAAAAGTTCTTTAAAAGTTCTACTATGAATATTGTTCAAACCAACATCTAGGGAAAAAAATAACCTCTTAATGAATTCAGTTCCTGTATTTCTCATGTAAATGAATTTTAGTTCTGAGAGGTTAATAAACGTCTCTGAAGCTAATGTTTAATGCAATTACAATGGTAACTGTGTCAACAAACCAAAAATCTTTAAAAACATAGTTTTAGGTATCACCTCACAGGACTGCTTGCTCTCCATTATCTTTAATATAGAGTCTTTCAATGCATGATGAACAAAACTTGTTGCTGTGGCTTTCATATACTGCTCCATAAGTGTACTTGCTAAAGTGGTGGCACGAAACAAGGTAGTAGCTTCATCTGAAAAAAAAAAAGACAGCAAAGAGAAAACGTGAGAAAAGGAGACAACAAAAAGTAGAGGAAAAATGGGCTGTGTTTACACTTTGATATATGTTGTAACTAAAGAAGGAGGAAAAAAGCCCTTCCCTCCCCACCTGCCCAGATTTCCAGTAAACTGTAATTTAGTGCAGTACCTTCCATGCTTATCTCCCTGTCATTTAGTGTTCGCAACAACAAGGACTCCAGCTTTTCATGCAGAAAAATCTTCAATAAAATGCCAGCCAACAGTGTTCTATCCTGTCCACAAACATGTGATAAGGCATAGACTACATGAAGCTCTTTCTGGAGTATAAGCTGAAAAAAAAAACCCCAGAATTTTAAAATATTCAGAAGCTTCTCCTAATGTATAACAGCTTTGAAAAAACTGGTATCATACATCTGCAATGATACATGTTACTATAAATATTATTTAATGATGTCAACTTGTGTTACTGAGATCCGTTTCAAACAAACAAAAAAATGAGTTTTGACAGACGAACCAAGGAAAGTTAAACAATGTCATACCTCTTTAAATTCATTGTACTCCTCTTCTGGCATGATCTTCTCCATAGAATATCGTGCTCGAACACGCAAAGATCCTGGCTCTATACCCTTTAATGGTACATGGGAACTGAGTTGAAACCACTCATCTGTTGCATGTCCTTTTTGTAATCGGCTTAATTGGCAACGCATAAACACTTAAGGGAAAAAAGCATTGTTCAAGTTATCTCCAGCAAAACAGTGCTACTATTGAATAAAAAAACATTTTCAGCACATGTCATCTTGTTTCAGAAAAAGAGTATTAGTAAGAGTAATCAAGATTTTTGTCATCAATACATTGACAGATTCTCTCTTTAATGGTTTAACAGACTCCTGTAAACTGAAGAAGAAATACAAAGCGTTGTGTAAAGAATGTATACATCTACATCCAATAATGCCACAGATATTGACACAGTTTTCTTTGTAATACCCAAGTAGTAAGTAAAAAAATGCTACCCTGCAAATCCAAGTAGCAGTCAGAAACTAAAACCAGATAAAGTGTTCAGAATTCGCTGCCCTCTTTCTAGCCTTGGGCTGAGACCACCACTGGGTCTGCTCCTTGAACACTTTGTAACTTCTCACTATTTATTAGTGTTTCTATGGCTTTCCAAAATATTACCATACCTATTTCTTTTATAGTAACTCCCAGGTTAAAGCTGTAACAGTTTATGCGATTTATGTAAAAAAACTGTTCGGAGGCAGCCTGCTGCCTAGATAATGATGAAAGTCAACTCGGGAACAGCCAAATTATTAATTCACCTTTCAGTGGTGTTGGTCCACAGTTCAAGTTTCACATTTAGCCCATCAGTCTGGATGTTTCAAGCAAACACCCTCTCTTTCCATGTCGCTCAATAAGATCTGTTTTTCAGTTTGTCAGATTAAAAAAAAAATCCAAAAATGAAACTCAAGAGTTTTGTTTTTTTCACATTTCTGCAAAGCTGATGCACCACACTGCCTTGCAGAATTTGTCAACAATTCCAGTAGATTTCCCATTGCCCCAGTGTTGAAATACACTGCAGGATATCATTTGATACTGGAACAGAAAAACATCACATTTATAATGCTCGCTTCAGGACACTCCTGTCGCCTATTTCATATTCTTTGGAGTTGGTAAACTGATATAAGCTAATGCATTCAAATCAGCCAAGGAGTGTGAAAAGCAATTTATCATCATCTGCTACTTATCACCAGTGTGGATGTGTATGTCTTTAGATCAGATAATCAACTGACTTTCCTAGAATATTTCCCCCCATCATCAAAGCTCCTGTACCTCCAACTAAGCAATGTGTTTTTCTTCTTATTTTGCTTGCATTTGTAAGGCACGTATAGGTCAGTGAAAGGAATGGTAAATGCAATACAGGATCTAGAATAAACTGATCATTTCATTTTTCCCTGTGGTTACAGTAGCGCATCATAGCTATACTATAAATACTATGATCTTGCTTTGATTAAAAAAAAAAAAAAAAAAAAAAAAAGGTCGGAACAGAAATATCCATACAGGGACTGCAGAACAGTTGCTATTATAATTTATATTCAATAACTTTAAAGGAACAAGAGTTTTTCCCATTTAGCAGCTTACATTGAATTAGTAGCCTACCTTCAGTAAGAGAATGCTATTAGTTGAAAAAAATCAGGATATTTGCACTTTGCAATATAGCACATTTTAAAAGATATATAATATACAGAAAATCATCAAAACAAACAATAGCTAATCTCTTCTCTCCAGACACAAGTAAGAATTCTCCTGACAACAATCTTGATCTAGAAAGAACATTAGTACGAAAAACAGAAGACTGAGTTTTCTTAATGGCTTATTTGCTAATGAAACTTTGGGCATAATATTTAGTAACAAGGTTGTATTTTGATTGTTAGTAATTAGAACCTGGGAATCAAAGTGAAAAGTGGTTCAAACTTAGGTTTGCTCCAGTCTTTAGACTGGAAATGAACCTGCATTTACTATGAAGCCTTTGTCTAACCCTGCAAAACGGAGCCATCAAAAAACCCTAGAAAAATCTAAATACTGATTCAGAATAAAAGCCATTTGAAATCTTGAGAAAGAGGAAATTCCTCGATATGTGGACATATTAAATCCTGCCTTTTGCAGCCACAAGTCACTGTTGCATAAGCACAGTCCATCCTACAAACTGGTGAGGAGCTGTTCAGGACTGGAAGCTTTTGTACTCACCTACTTCTTCAGAGATGCTGCTAGTAATGTCCTTTTGTTCTCTTATGGTGGCAGGCACTATGCTTTACTACTATTAATAAGCTTCTGATGGGCCCCACAGCCTGAGTTTGTCCCTTTTGCCCAAAGCCCATGTATGTCTACATGAACATGCTTGCTACATGCATTGCACTAGACAAGCTTAGTGCCTGTTTCCTGGAAAATATGCACCAGAACAAAGTTTCTTCCTGCCAGCTGCATCATCTCAGCTACCAGTTTCAAAAACAAGCTTTGACACTACTGCAAATAACAAATGTGCCTAAAAGGAAAGACATTGGCTAATACTTTGCTCTATGGACTTGCCTGCATGAGGTGACCACCTCCATTATAAAAATATTTCTTTTTCAACAAGAACTAATTTGAAATTAACCATCATGCTGCAAAATCAAACCAGAACTTCCACTCCAGTTCAACACTGTGTGGTATTGTCCTGAGAGATTTACTAATTTAACTGTCTAATCATACCTGACCATCCCAGTTTGCAGTAGCAGCAGATGAACTCTTATACTACATTCTAGGGCTTTATTTTTTCCTAGCCATAATATATATATATTGATTTGAATAAATCCGTATGCAATTTGCAGTTAGAGAAACAAAGAAAATTTAAATAGGATTGATACTAAACTGTTTACTATGATTTTGACTAGTGGAAATACTTTTTAAACCCAAAAATACTAAAATAATTACAGAATACTCATAATCAGCCAACTTCAAAGTCAAAGACTTGAAAACTCAGTATGTGTTTTAAAATACTGAATAAACAGCCTTCACTCTGGTATTTAACTTCTGTGTACTATGATGAAAGAAATAAAGCAGTGAGACCAATAACAGTTTTGGGTCTTCAATCTGCATTACGTGGCAAAAAAGCAAGCAGACAAGCTGGCTTAACCAATTAACTGGGAAGATGAATAGTACTAGCCTCACATGACTCCCACTTCACAGCAGTCCACATTTAAAAGCTATGGCTGAAAAGGAGAACGTCCAGGAAAGGAACCAATTCTCTTGCTTTTGATGAGTTCAAGGGTTACTCAGGCAATGCAGCACATAGGTAAGTTAGATAAGGTCTGGTTTAGCTCTTTCCCCACCCCCTGCACTTCATGTATTTAATAGGGCTGGGGACATAATCAGAGGTATGTGTTCTTTCAAGCTGACTTAGTCTAATCCTTATCCAAAAACAAAAGGACTGTTGGGTTATGCTATAAGAGTTTACCTAACCGCAATGAAGAAACTCAGCCAATCCTGCTCCTGAGCTAGATAACCTTCTATCACCTCTCATCAGCTGGATGCATCCAAAGCCAACACAACCTCCTTCATCTGGACAGAGGACAAAACTACAAAAACACTTTTAAAGAAGCTACTCAAGTACTCCATTCAAGAATTCTCCTTTTAAAGACTCTTCTACTAACCAGAACTTTGGTGTAGATAGGTAACAGGTTTTCCAGCTCAAATGAATAGAAGAACAGTGCAAGAACATGGTCACAACTGCAACTAGAGCCCTTTTGTCTGTCAGACAGAATGTATCTTTTTTCCTCCTGCTATGCATAAAGTTTTCTAGTCAGAGGAAGAAGAAAGAGGTTTGAAATTGAATTAGGTTCTTCATGAGCATTCAAAATGAATAGTAATTCTTCTACTTTGGTCAAGGTTTCCCTACAAAAAGAAAAAAGAAAGAAAAAAAAAGAAAAAAGAAAAAAGAAAAAAGAAAAAAGAAAAAAGAAAAAAGAAAAAAGAAAAAAGAAAAAAGAAAAAAAAAGAAAAAAGAAAAAAGAAAAAAGAAAAAAGAAAAAAGAAAAAAGAAAAATCAAGAAATTAGCACTGAGGCATATGTAACAGGCCAGTAAAGCAATATATATAACATATATAACTGAAAACTAATGCAATAGATTATAAATACTCTGACAGGCTTTAGAACAGACAGCTCTGAACACAATGGAAAAGAAAAAAATCTTGTAACAAATTTGAAGGGGGCAGGGAGGGAATCCTGCCCTGCAGGCAGCAAAGAGGAGGCAGGGGGCTGCAGTTGCTCCAGAACAAGTATGGTGGGAAAAAAGATACCTTGAATAAGAAGAAAGAAAAGAAAAAAAAAAAAAAGAAAAAAAAAAAAAAAGAAAAACTAAACCCGCATTGTATAGGAAGAGAACTAACCTAAAGAAACCCCAACAATTTAAAAAAAAAAAAATCCATTTTTTCTATCGATAAGCTCAGAATCCATGTTCTTCAAACCCTTCTTTTCTAGGAAGCTGATAGATCTTACCACCTTGCTGTTAATTTGCTGGAACAGAAACAAAACCACAGTTGAAGAACCAGCTGTCTGGGTTAGATGAGGAAAATAAATTCTTGGAAACTTCTGTAAAAAGGCAGAAGAAAGTATCTATCCTTTCCCATTCAAAGTGATACTGACGTAACTGCAGATTTAAGCCCAACATACAAGGTGGTACGAAGAAAGTAGATATATGAGGTAAAAATGAAGAGAAAACAAGGCAAATTTTGTTTGGAGACTGCCAAAATTTAAAAAAAAAAATCAATAAATTTAATGATGAAAGTAATACACCTTTGCTCCCTTTCTCTTTCTCACTGGAAGCAAGAAAAAACCTGAAAAGGAATTCCATGCAATCAGACTTACAACTCCATGGAACTTAACATTTTATGAAGCAGACTCACACTGACAGCTTTTCTTTCCTCTTGCTTTCTGGTAAGCACAGTGATTGTAAAGCATGCTGGCAACTCTAGAGTAGAGCTAGGAAAATCATCAGGTCTGGATTACTGTGCATTTTATTACTAAAAAACATGCAGGTTTGTAAAAACATTAATGCAAGGCCAGTATGAGACAGGCAAAACATACAAACACAGCAGAATGGTGAGTGTAACAATGTACTTCATTCACTTGTGACAATGTGTGACAAAGGTAATGAAAACCACCCGAAGTAGCGATTGCTGCAATATATATGCATCTTTAAGAGAAAAATACTTACATATATCTGGATCTTTACTTTTCTTTGTTTTGTTACTAAGACTTATTTCAAATCTATTAATATCAGATGAAAGATCACTAGGAGAAAAGACAGAAAGTCTCAATTAATACCATACTTGACTGCATTTATGCTTATTCTAAACTCATTTCAATCCTGAGTTGTCATTATCAGCCAAAACCACTTATATTAACACAGGTATTTAAGTGCCTACAGAAAATTCTGCCCATATAGAAATTGGCTGAAAGGTTGCTGCTGTATAAATACACACACAGTATTTTTAAAAAGCATATGCAAAACAGCGCAGTGTTAAGAACCTTAAATGCAATGCAACTTACAAGTGAAATTCAGTAATTCAAGACGATTAAGACTTACTCAAAGACAAATTCTTCTGACCAGACAGGGTTCTGCCCTTCCCTGATGTGTGTTTTTGCTACCTGGACACTGTTCAGGTAGATGTTACAATATGGATTAGTAAAATGCTTTACTGGGAGCGTATGAGCTTCTTCTACATGCAAAATGAGACTGCTGACCTAAAAAGAAACACACATAATTTCCTTTTTGTTGCTAAAACAGAAATACAAACCACATGAATGGATTATTTTTTTTATTCTCTGTGTGAAAGCAATGTTAATATATGAATACTGAATACAAACTAAAATTTTCTAGTAAAGAGAGCAAGGAACAGAAGTAATGGAACAACACTTTAAGAGGCAGCAGTGACAGAGTAACTCCAATAATTAATGAAAACAAATGTACAGCCCCATGCTTTTAAGGCATCTTGTTTTCTTCTTCTAAAATTATCTTTGAGGCATTATGATTTGCAAATACTACATTTCTGTGCACAGAAAATTTTACCAAAATTGAAGTCTGGGACCTTGAAGAAGAGGCATGGACGAATTGAAACACGATGGCTTATTTGGTGCCTTCCTAACAGATTACGTACAATTGCTTTATGCAACACATTGCATTCTATTCCTTTATGTAGATTAACATTTTCTTCACTTTTTGAAGTAAAGAATTATTTCAGATTGTCACTCTTTCTGTTTAGTTTTTGCATCTTGAAGTCCCCAATTTCACCTGCCACTTTAACTGTGAATTCACCTAATTTAGCTCATTTACTCAGAAGTATCCAAACATCTTTAATGTTAATTACAGAATAGTTGTGCATCCTGAAAAACATCCCATTTCTTTCTCTGCTGTTAAAACAACCACATGCAATGTTCCTAACGTTCAAAAATATGAGGGATTCTTCAAGTATTTTCCTGTTATTCTCCAATCATCACAGATGTAGCCATTTATGACTACTCGTCCTCTACCTCTGAGGAAATTCTGGCAAGCACAGCACTTTCAAGAGGCCAAGAGAAATTAAGCCACAAGCATGGTTCAGCATGTATTTGTTACTGAAAATGAATAACAGCAGTTAAAGAAAACAAAATACACATAAGTCTGTCAAATTTTTAAAAAGTTTCCCATATGTGGTAAATTTTAAAAGTTGATACAAACACTGACTTCCTTACACTTTTAATCAAATGTCGTCAGAAATTAATACCTTGCAAAGCACGTGCAGATTGCCTAAAGCTATTTTGTTATAATATCTATGTACATAAAACCCAAAGTATAAGTCATTCTGGTTAGCTTCATAAGGGTACTGCGTAACTCCAAAAAGGGAAGTAAGTACATGCAGGATTTACTACTGTTGAGAGGAAAATTCTCCAATTTATCCTTGTTTTGCAACAAGGAGATAAAACACTCCCACACATGCACCACCAATTCCACAGTATCAGCTTCACCTGACGCAGACGTTTATTTGATGTTCCTGGACTGGTTTTTCTTAAACTGCAAAACATCTGCAGAGCTTTCATCCAGTCCTAAGAGAGAAGGATGCAGAATAGTGTAATAAAACAAAGTCAGATATAGCTTCTTATAGTGCAACAGATGTATCTAAAAAGAGTATCTGAAGTTTTCCCTTAAGCTTGGCAAAACCTGTTTTCTGTAATTCCAAAGTATGCAAGTTTGAATATTAAAGCAAAATCTTTACTGAGCAAAACCTAATAAAGCATTTACAAATCTGAACCATTTTCTCTTTTAGAAATATCAAGCATTACTAATGGATATACAGTGTGATGTTTACCAATTTTCCAGTCTAGTAATATTACGTGAAATTACAAATGGTATAAAAAATGAAGCAAAACTTGTTTGCTTCTGAGAAAATTACAGTTGACAAGCCAAACTGTTCTGGTGATTCTCTCCAGTACTTCTGTATGGCAATCATAATACTGTATATACTTCAAACAAAAACTAAGACAGTGTTAACAGAGAACCACAGAAGCATATATCCAACATTCCCCAGTTTGCTCACAAATGCATAAAGCAGAGTGGATGGATGGATTCCATTTTGATCAAGGAAATAAACAGGTTGTCTAACACCAAACTGACTCTAGAACCTTTGTGCATATTTTTTTTAATTAACTAAGTTGCTAAGAGGCATTGCCAGCTAGCCAGGCCACCTCTGAAAAAGACACTGCAGCGTGAGAAAGTTGCTAACAGAGGAGCTACGCAAGGGGCTTTTGGAAGGTGGAAGATAAGTTACAGCCTCATTCTCTAGTTTTTATTCCCCAGCCACCAAATTTTGTATAGCTCTTGCAAAGCACAAAACGTAGGTTTTGACCAACAGCCTTCTTAAGCCTGTATCTCAAAGATCCGCCATCTATTCTGAAAGTGGAATTTAACGATGTCATTAAAAAACCCATAACACTGTTTCAATCTTAGCCTTCACACTATCTTCCACATCTTAAAAATACAGGAACATGCACTGCAGATATTCTCAGCTAGACCACTTTGCGAGTCAAGTTTCAGCTTTCGAAACCTTCCACAGAAGGAAAAGCTTTCAACTATGCATTACAAAGTTTCAGCAGCTTGTTTCCTTATTCTCAGGAGTGGCAATCGAAGAAACAAATGTCTCCTAAACACTCTAACAGAAATATTTCCTGGACGCATAGTACGGCTCTATCCTCACTCATGGGTGGAAAACCTTTCTCGTTTAATGCCAAAGCCTACAGCAGTGAGAATAAACAATGTGCCACAGTAAGCGCAGTGACACTAGCACATAAGGCTACATTTTACATTTGCTTTTGTACGAAACAAAGACAACATGCAGTCCATAGGATGGCACTGCTTTGATATTTACTGTAAGAAAGCCTTAATATACAAATAAAACTATTCTTCCATGAAAAGTTACAGACCAAAGAAAGCTGAACTTTCTCAAAAGAGAAATATCTATAAACTTTCCTGGGCCAAAGCCATATTATAAAAAAACCAACCCTGTATTCTGTATAAATGCAGTGAACAGCTTGTTCAGCAGATCAAGACCAAAATCAGATTATACCAAATGTTCAGGAAACAAGACAGGATATTCTGCCTTCTACACATTCTTAATTCTTTTAATTTCTAGAACATAAAAGACATTGGAGATGTGACAAAAATCCATGTACAGTAATAAGTGTGGAAATTAATGTATATATTCTCAATTACTATACAGCATGCTGCTTCTCCAAGACAGTACATTAAGAGTTGTGTGACAAATGCCATTGCATCATTCTGATGTCATCTCACCGACTTTCATAAATTTGTAGTAATTTAACAGGAAAATTTGTGCTTTCCTTTATATACAACACAAGAAGAATACTAAATTTATACAGCCTTCACGGTCTAGTGAATAGTAGTCTATTACAAGTACTGTAAACAGCTTCAATTCCACTCAAACAAAATCAAATGCAAAGCTTAACTTCTGATGCAAGAGTTGTATTTCAGACCTGTGGACTTTCAGAGCCATAAACTTCATAAGGACATTGCCTCATCTTAGATATCCCCTTCTGCTGGTGAGTGAATCTCAGAGAATTACGCTTCAATCCTTCAATTCTTACTCAGCAAACATAACTGCTACAGAGCTAGTAATGAAAGGATACCAACTAAAATTAGAAAACCTTACTTTCTGTGCACGATCCAGGCCCAAGACCATGAACAAGCACCAATTTATGGACAGGATAAGCAACTGCAAAAGGCAGGTGTTCAATATACTTTGGTCACTGGGCACACATATATGCGTTAGCATTTTAGTTCATATCAGCAATATGCCTTTGAAGGAAACCTCCCACTTAGTGTGCTTGGGTTTATAACATGCAAAAGTCTTGGAAAGTAAATTATTTTTCTGAAATGAACTACCTAAAAAAAAAAATGTTCTCCAGAAACACACGATGGAAAATAATGGAAGTTCAGTGCATGGGACCTGACTGGAACTTGTCCAAAGCAAAACCCCCAAGTGCAGGTTAACGTAGGTGCTGGATTCTCAGCTCTAACTGCTCCCCTTACACGTCCGCTGCTACTCCATTGTAACACCTGCTAACATAGACACAGCCACTAACTATTTGTGATACACTTCCTGTTTAAGAAGGGCAATATCATTAAACACCATATGGCAAAAAGTTACTTTAAAAATTGTATTTACCAACAAAAACTCTCACCTGTGCTTGTTCTGGAGTTTCGCCTGCAAAGTAAAAGATGTAATGCTCTTCACTAAAGTGCTGAACTACTATCTGAAAACAGTTTGGCCTTAAAAACAAACAAAACAAAACAAAGTTTTATTATTCTTTGTAATAGTAACAGACACTTTCACTCATCCATCTGTGCCAAAACAAAGTTTACACCGAACTAATATATTTCTGCAGTTTGTCTGTATGGAGCATAGAACATTGCATCAATTTTTGTTTGTATACACGTAGCATAATCTCACATGGCAAGAGGAAGAACTCCAACTAAAAAATTTCTCAGGTTCTTCAAAACTGCATTTCATTTTGAATGTATTATGTCATTTTAAGAAAACCACACTTCAGTACAGCTAGTTTGTTTTGAATATCAAGAAACTTTTAGAATGGCCTGTACCTGCTGACTTACACTCAAGGCAAAAAAGAGCCATCTGGTAACGGAAAAGACTTGTCAACAAGGACTATTCCCAGAGACTTTAAAAGCAGGAGACGTTCACCATTAGTTCCCAACCAGTTAATTGCACATTAAGGATTTGTTCTTTCAGGAGTTCAGGAACAATATTAACACAAAGAAACCCCTATTTGAATGTGTCCCACAGCTCTCACAACCAATAAAATGTGTATTGGATCATATACTGATCATTGAATGTCTGTGACACAAACCTCCACAACCTTAAATGCAATTATAGTGTCTTTGCCTTTTTATGTACCTCCACTCATTTGCCAAAAAGTCAATCACAAGTACTTCCTGTTGTTAAATTACAAGCTATTTAAAGTGCACGCTTCACTCACGACCTTACACAGTGTGCTCAAGGAAATGTATCTTTCCCAAAACCAATGTTACATGAAGGACCCTACTTCATTTGCAAAGGAGTTTCAGTCTTCAGTTCCCCCATGCATTTTACTGCTGGGAGAAACGCTGACACAGTACTCTGTGGCCATCCGCAGAAGGGTGGGGGAGAGCAGGAAGTAGCAGAGTCTGGGGCTAATTAAATCATTGCCACCAAAGAACCATCAAAGCTAGACTTCACTGTACTTCTGAGAAAAGGGGAACATCAGTTTTTACCAGCTACTTAAAATGCAGGAGGAACCTTGTCTCTCCTTGAGCTATAGTCTCTCACCAACGGCTTCCTAAGCTGGTGCAACCATGCATCTCCTCCTACCCTCGTTTAGTACCACTCACTGTCCAACTATACTTTAACCCACAGCACAGTGTTTCTTAAAAACTGTTTAAGAGGCAGTCACTGTTAACTATTGTTTACAATATACACCAAAGCTTCCTGCATAATTGCCAACTTACATAAAAAACATTTCAGTATTTTTTTAATTACTGTTCCGGTACTCCTTATTTGTATCTATGCTCCTCGTTCCATTAGTTTAACCACTTTTTTTCAAAACTATTAAAAATATTTAAAAACCCCACAAACCAGATCAAACAAAAGCACCAGTTTTGCAGCTTAAGAAATGCCACTAATTTTAAGCATTTTTCTTGAAGTTTTTTCACAAAAATAACCAGAAGTTGACTATATATAATTTTTTAATAAATATTAAGGTCAATGGGATAACTAGAATTCCTGTCTAACACTTGTAGGACTAAGCATACCTATTTCTTCTACATGGTGTTATAACACAGGACGGCACAAGTTTTTTTTGCAACTACCAATGAACAAATATGTTAACTCTTTCTTGCTAATTACCAATGACAGCAAAGACTTTTGACTCTCAACTTCTTTGCTGATACTCACATCCCTTGCAGTTGGCATATTTTGAATCTCAAAATACTACAGTAAATAAGATTTGATGTGAAAATTAGCTCTGAATACATTAATTATGCAAAAACACATTTCTGAGGATGTTGACTTAGATGAACTAGTTTACTACTAAGTTGGTCTAATCTAACAAAAGTACTTGTTCTTAAATAGAAAAGCACTTACGGACTCCATCTAACCAAGTTAGCTTTCAAATACCTATCAAAAGAATGTAGATCTTTCGGAACTGACAAAATTCTTTATCTTGTCCAAAGGATTAAAACCCTTGGTTCATAATATCTAATGACTGTAATATGAAAGTTGGAACAATTAATGCACTCAATATTCAAAAATTACAATGCAAAAAAGCTCAAACCATCACATCTTATTTCTCAATAAAAATTTAATACTAAATTCTAAAATGTCTAGCTAGAAGTTGTTCATGTACAGTTGCTAGCAATCGAGTTGCCAAGTTACTAAACAGTTACTTGCTAAACAAGTTACTATTCACCAGCTACATCTGTCTACCTATGCTCTTGCAATCCACACCAACTACAGACTCTTGGTATGAACCAAGAGCCACAATGCAAGATGGGGCAACACATTGCCCGTGTCTCATGTACATGCCTCAAACTAGCAGTCAACTCTGCCGCTGCACATACGAGAATTAAAAGCCAGTGTCCTACCTGCCAAACAAACTGTCATGTACTCCATAGACGGAACACACGCTAAGGTCTATTAGTCCTTTGGGTTTTGTGGCTCGTTTTTCACTTTCAAAATAAATAAGCTGGGCATCATTTCCCTCTAATATAAAGTACAAGTTTTTCCATCTCTTTCCTTTACCTGTAGGAGAGTCAAGAAAAAAGTTACGATACTGTTTAAAAGAAAGTATAAATTTTGTAAATAAAAAAACCAAGAGGGCAGTTAAGTTTTTGTCAAATTGCAAACAGAAGAACAATGTACAGGTAATCAGAGTTAAGTTATATTATCAGTATACATACTCAATTTGATGCAACATGTGGCTACAACTAGACCCTCTTCACAGATGCAGGTAGCATTGCACAACGTTCTCTAAACATTTTCACTGATTTTAACAGCATTAAGCAAGTGCATATAAGCTGCTTGGACAGTGGATTCCTGTCAGTGTTAAGACTCCGTATCTAAACAGTTTGCAAATAATGATGGGTGGATCCCATTTATTACAATTTTAATGAAGAAACAGACTCTTGACACGAGAAAGTTACTCCTAACCTCTGACTAATGTTAACAGATTGTATTACAGTATATTAAAACAGTATGGCTGGAGAACAGAAATGGGAATATGTTTTATGCAAACTTAAATCTGAAACATGGCCCAAACATAACCATATCTAAGCATGTGGCTGGTTCCACTTGTTTCAGAGAAATTTTTCTCTGAACTACAACGGATTAGGAACTTTCTGCAACTAATTAATACATAAGTCCCAGTACCATTCGGAAAAAACTTTCAGCCTTAATTTTATACTTTGATCATCATAAAACAACCATGGACCTCAGTAAATGAGTATTAGCATTATTTTGAAAAGACAAGTCTAGCATCCAGTTATTACACTCTGCCTCCTAGATGAAAGTGATCTTACTGAGTTTGTTCCATATGCAGCTATGTGCATCTCTCTACACCTACTCTGTATTCCGGTTTGCACATTTAAAGTATCTCATCTTTCTTTTAGCTAAAGGTTTTCAATTAGTTCTTACTTGATTCCTCACTCTGTGACACCTTCTCTCAAAATCAGCCTTCTCAACAGAAGAGATGCTTTTCTTGTTCAGTTCAAAGGGTCTACAGTTTGGGGTGGTTTGTGTTTTTTAATGTCTCCTTTATATTTAGCTGTATTTAAAATCATACCCTCTTTCTCACTGTTGTTTGCTGTTCAGATTACAATCTGTAGCTTATCCTTCCGGTTATGGTCTCTGTCATTTCAGAAATTTTATTATTGATAGTTTATCTGTTTCCATTAATGCTGATTTTTTAAAAAGTAGAAATGTAACACTTAGTAAGGGACTAGCTTCCTCAGAACTTCAAATACTTGCTCAATGGCAATTCTTCAGGGTTATATCGAGATGAGTCAAGCAGTCAGCTTCTAATGTATTAATTGTATGTTATGTTGACTCTTGTCAGTGTTGGAGCCCTAAAAAAAGTTGCTATGTATCTTGTACAGCAGAATATACATTTTAAACTTAAGATTTAAAACATATGACCTAACTTGGAATAGCAAAATAAAACCAGCTGTGCTCTCCAATGAATGTACAGATTTATACTGTTCTATCTCTAACCTACTCCATCAGCTAGAATTTAATGAATTCTGTATTAAATAAAAACACTTTTTATGAAAATATACTTTAATGAGCTTGAATGCTACCTTTGACAAGGATGCCTATTTTTTGTGCTGCGCTCTGATTTTTTTCAGAACTGCTATTCAATGTTTTCACATTGCATGTAATTTTATCTATCATGTTGTTCTAATAATGTACTACTAAAGGAAAGAAGTCTTTCAAACTCTTCATACACTTTGTAGAACCTTTTCCCCACTTCAATTCTAATACCACTACTAAATTCACTAAGTATGCATGTTCGGCTTGGAGAAGAGAAGGCTGAGGGGTGACCTCATCAGTGAGGTGTGACTTCATGGTAGTCTACACCTTCCTCAAGGAGGGCAGTAGAACGGGAGGTGCTGATCTCTCTCTGGTGACGCGCGACAGGATACAAGGGAAGGGAATGAAGCTGCGTCAGGGGAAGTTCAGGCTGGACACAGGAGAAAGTTCTTCACTGAGAGAGCAGTCGGTCCCAGGGAAGTGGTCATGGCACCAAGCCTGTCAGAGTTCAAGGGGTGTCTGGATGATGCTCTCAGTCATATGGTTTAGTTTTACATAGTCCTGTGAGGAGCAGGGAGTTGGACTGAGTCTTACAGGTCCCTTCCAACACGAGATATTCTAGGGTTCTATAATCCATACCTGCATTTTCTTGTTCAGAAAAATAATTTATGGAAGCAAACTCACTTTTTTTCAGAAGATAACCTTTTTTGACAATATTTTTATAAAAAGCATCCTTTGTTTTCCGACGAATTGTATTGTAGATTTCCTTTCCATCCACTGTATCATTAAGCACTTGTTCTTGGTGCTGGTAAACATGTAAGAAAAACATATTTTAAGCTCAGAAACTGCCATTAAAAAATTGCATACTATGAAACCACAACCAAGATCATCTTACTGAATGTTACCTACTCACTACTACTGTTCTTTCATGCATTTTAATAAAGCAATACCATTTTTCATACAATACCTTTGCTATAAATGTAATATAACTATTTCCATATTTCCAGAATTATGATGGAAGAAGAAAGTTTTCAATACAGACCAACTTCTACAAAGTAACATTGTGTCTTTTTCATATTAAATAGAAAGCAGCATTTCAGTGATTTGTGTTAAATTTATGCAAGTCTTTCAAGATTTATCTAGCTTCTAATTGTCTTCTACCAAAGTTTCAGGACTGAGTAATCATGGATAAACTCTGAAGCAATAAGAATGGTGCAGATTACAATTAAAACCGACTCAAAGTTGCACAGTCTCATTAATTTCATTAGAACTCACATGTCCTAACTGAATAGAACAAGACAAGAGAAGAAAGTAGAAACTAGAAACAGAAAAAAGGATAAATTCACACAGAAAATTGTAGGATCTGGAAACGCAAGTAACAAATGAGAATAGCCAAAAGCCAAGCCAAGTTTGACCTTACCAAGTTAAGCTGATCAGCAAAAGTTCTTTAGCCATAAGAAAACATGAAAAGCAAGACTGTCAAGCAGTAAGAACAACATTGAGATAAAAAGCGATACGTGAACTGGCTCATATTAAATATTCTACTTTTCTTCCTGCCCATATATCTACAAGAATTATGATTTTGAACATCATGACAAAAGCAAGATGAAAAATACTTTGGTAATACTAACAGGAATTACAGGATGTACAATGGAAGCAACATCCAGGTGTTTATGAGCTGAAGGTAATCTCCATAATATAACTACACAATGAACAGTGCAGAAAACAACAGATCTAGTGACAAATATTTTCAAGTAAATTTGATATTGTACACAGGCACTCAATCAGATTGACCCTAGAAGTGTGCAAGACTTTTGAGTATCTTTTTTTCCACCCTCAAAAACATAGAGCATGGTAGTATGTGAAAGGGATGTATCACAAAGCCAAATAAATTGCACCACTGACCACTGAATTTTTAAACAAAGCAAGTCACAAATACATCTGAACAGGATAAAAGAATCTGAAGTAGTCTCACATAGAAAATTAGTCAATGCACAGATTATTAATACAGGAACTGCAAGTGCATATGCAAAAAGCTAAAATGAAGACAATTACTGCCATGATTCAAGAACAATGGTGGAGCATGAGGAAAGTTACTAGTGAAGCCTTTCAATGAGCAGTCTCAGGATTCACATTTGCTTTTTGTCCCAAGCACATTACTGAGCAAGAGTTAACAGCAGCAAACAACTGGGAAGCACTGATGACACAAGACAATTAGCAGTATAGGAAAGATCTGAATAACAAGGTGTAAGTCTACTAGTACAACATAAAAGTTACACCTGTTGATACTTACCACCAGAAAACAGAAAATGAGAAACGTGAACAGCTGAGTCATTCACAGGAGGACTGAGCTATGACATAACATGGCTATGACAATATACTGGGTCTTACAGGGATAGAGTTAACTTCTGTCACAGCAGCCCCTACAGAACTGTGTTTTGGTTCTGTGACTAAAACAGTGTTGGTATGGCACCAGTGTTCTGGCTCTTGCTGATCAGTGGTTGCACAGCCCAGGACTTTCTCCATCTCCAGTGGGACTCTTGGGTGGGCAAGATGCTGGGAGCAGACACAGCCGGGACAGCTGATGCTAACTACCAAAGGGATATTCCATCAATATAACATCATGATCAGCAATAAAAGTAAGGGTGTGTGAGAGTGTGTATGTGTCTCTCTGTCTGTCTTCCTCAGTGACCACTGCTCAGAGACCAGCTGAGCATCAGGCTCCTTGTGGGAGGTGGCGAGTTAGTGCCTTTGCATCACTCCCACCACCCCTTCCTTTCCTTATTAACCTGTATTTATCTCAACCCAGGAGTTTTTTTGCTTTTGTCCCCATCCCGCAGGAGAGGGGAGTGAGCAAAGGTGGGTCCTTAGCTGCTCTCCAGGGTCAACCCACCACAGAAAATGACAACTATATTCTGTTAAGTATTTCTGTTAAGTATTTTCCAGAGAGAAAGGGAATTACGTATGACATCGTACTGTAAACTGTTCTGGTCCACCTCATTCAAGAAGGGCAAGCTTGCACCACAATTGGTGGCAGCAGGGCAACCACAAAAACATTAAAAGGGGACAGGATCAGGTTTGCTATGCTTAGCTTAGTGAGCTGACTAAGGGAGAATACAAGAAATGTTCTTGTATTAATGGGACAGATCTCACAAAGGGGTATGAATTGACCATAACTCAATTTAGGGAGGAAATTAGAGGCAAATTTCTAACCACTGAAACAAGAAAGTTTGGGAACAGAGAGGGAATAAAATATACATCTATACTTTATAACAAGCTATAAGGTTATGAAAAGTTAAATGATGTGGTGTGCTTATTACTGGTGGTCTCTTAGGATGAACTTCTGCTATGGGGGAAAAGCGCTCCAGAACAAGTCCTGCAATCACCCCTGAAGCTCTTCTGTGCATACAGGTTTTCTCTGGCAGAAGAAAAACCCCAGACACAAGACAGGAGGGTAGCCTGGTTCCACCCAACATGGGACTAAGGCACAACATGGTTGAGCCAGGGACTAGAGCTAGAGGCACATAGCAGAGGATGAGCACCTCAGAGGACAGAGAGAGCTTACCATATTTTCTGTTGACTACAAGCCAACTTTTGGTAAGTGAACGCATTTGAGGATAAAACAAAAGAAACACATAAGTTGAAAAAAATAAAATTGGAGATGATGCTGTTTAACTACCATTGGTGTATCTGCTGTAATTCAGTTCATAAATTGATTTGATGATGACTAGGTCTGTGTCTTCAACAACAAACACTCAGAGGTGATGTCTTACCTGCATTGGAACAGGATCTTTAAGGTAATATCCTTCAACAATCTGTTCTTTTCTATAGTGCTCAATGATGTCAGCAATACTGTTCCAATAAGAAATACAGGATGTACACGTTAAAACAGGTTAGCTTTTCCTGTTTGAGAATTTGCTTTTTCATACAACCACAGAAAACTTTCTCACAAAGTTTTAATAAAATCAAGCATTAAACATCATAATCTCATTTGTAGCAATGAGAATTTACTACCATACCGAAGTCAAGAAAGTTCACAAAACTGTATTCAGAATGTATTAAGTCTAAACTCTGCAAAATATTTTAATTCCTTACTTAAAATGCCAGATGAGGACACTGCTTTTTTCAGACTCAAGTAGCACATGTGCATTACCAGCTCCCCAATCAGGCTAAAAATTGCTGTTTCATTGGTAATAATTTTCAAAGTTTAAAAGAACTAGGGAAGGGGAATGGGAGATACCCCAAGTGCAGAGAAATTTCTTTCTAGGAAGACAGGAACAGAAAATATTTAAAGCAGAGTTTACACAGATCATACTCAGAAATCACTGAGCAATCCTGTGCAATTAAATACTCCATCAGTAGCATTCCTCTACAGGGAAGCATTCATTCTACTTGCCAGATTGAGACTGCAATTGCATTTGGAAGGCTCATGAGAGACGTAGTGACAGATACAACCTGAAAACTCAAGGCATTTGAGTTGCTCTAACTTATTTTCGCACTTACTGAAATTTACACTGTAATAAAGAACAGCAACATGAACATCAATAAAAATTAATCATTCATATGCAAAATACCAACCTAAAAAAAGAGCTAAATAATTAAGTAGAAAACAAAAATATATTGAGCATGTCTTCTCACTTCATGTGTACTTAGCTATGTGTGCAAAGATAATCAATCAACAAGGCATGCAGCAATTAAATCTTTGAGCTGTTACAACTGGATACAGTTGTGTTCAACACAGGAACAATATCTGATACTGTAAAAATACTATCAAAAACATTTACATAAAGCTATAGCAAGGTATCTTTGTTCACTTTTCTCTCATTCCAAAGCTATGAACTAGTGCATGATTCATAAAATGATTACTCTTCCCATAAATATTTTTGTTTGCCAGGGATGACATGAATTTCTCTTTCAGTGTTACTGAAATCAAATAATTTATTTCCATTTTTACTGAGATGCAGTCTGCATATGCCATCTTCCGCATAAAAATTTAAATTTTGCAACACTACAGAAAATAATGACTCAGTCATTATATTTTGCATGTTGAATAGCTACTGCCAACATCTTGTACTAAGTAAAACAGCCTTCTGTAATTTTTCTCCCTCATCAAAACAAGAATACCTTGACTGCCAATGCCTCCTCTCCTTGCTTGGTTAAAAATACCAGCACGAGTTCCTCAATATAAGAAGGAGGGTGCCTAATTTTTTCCAATTTCGTAAAATGAGCTGAAGAATAAACTCAGTTGCACTTGAAAACTCCTTTTTGCAGTCAGAGCACCATGCAGACTAGGACTTTATGCCTTGACAGAGCGACCAAAGGCTTGGCTCTGCAGCCCTCTCCCGCAAGCAAACTCGATTCTAATGGCCACTGGTATATTGCCTTACTGCTATGACAGCTCAAATGTCTCAACAAACTGAACACTGCAAAGATGCCAGGTATCTCCAGACAAGCACACTACAGAATGTGAATCTGCAAGTGATCAGACTTATCTAATATGTAAAACACCAAGCATGAAATCAGACTGACCACAAAACTTATCTAGGGGACAGGAAAATGAATCATAGCCTTCTTCAATGTCTGACAGCAACAAAAATCCTACTTACACAAAATGTATCAAGAAAGGTACAAATAAGCACGGATTTTAAAAAAGATGCTAAGCTTGGTTTGATATACAGAAATAAAGATGGATCTCAATACAACATTACAGTTACTTTAGTAACTTTAAAATGCTCAGTATAGGGCTTGTTAGGTTCCCCAGGCCTTGGTTACTTGAATGATTTTAAAACTATCTTACCATCACGAGTAGTACCATTTTTTTAATATTTAAAGAGTGAATTGAGAGCTATCTGAACAGCTGACATTTCAAATAACGAAGAATCCAGAAAGCAGAACTAAGCAACAGAATTCTATACACTGTTTAATTATAAAGGCAACAAATTGTTAAATTGTTTAGCCCATCACAATACAGATTAATCTACCAGTTGAAACAAAATTATCTGCCAATAAATTTTCAAATTATTTTGAAATATATCAAATACTCCAAATGTCTCAAATTCAAGATAACTTGAAAGCTTGATCGCTCTATAAACTATTGGGCTAATGTTTCTTATCTTCTCCTTTGACATAGAATCACCAGAAACAAAGAATCATCCCGAATTTTACAGGTTTTATTGAATGCTACCTGTTACGTATATTGAATTTTGGAAAGAAGGCAGATAGGGAGAAGAAGAGGATGGAGAAATGGCCTGGTATGCTTTTGCTACCACATGTTCTAAAATCATAATTGAAACATTAATAAATGCTGTCTTACATAGAAACACTGTGAAACACATACGGAAGTTATTGACAGAACAGCTGAGCACAGAAGGCACTTCTGCAGACCACCTTGCCCAAGCCCTCAGCTCATAGCAGGGCCAACATGATGGCAGGTTGCTCTGGCCCCTGTTCAGCCACACCCTGAGCATCTCCAAGGATGGAGACTCCATACCTTTCTGGGTAACTTGTTGCAGTGTTTGACCACCCTCACAGTAAAAGCCATACACCACGAATTGTGCATCTTTGGACTGAGATCTCACAACACAGTTACTAAAATCACAACTGTGCAAGTTCCACCTGGGACAGAGTTAATTTTCTTCCTATCAGCCCATACAGCGTTGTGTGACGTATGACTGAAACACTGTGTTGACAGCACACCGGTGTCCTGGCTATTGCTGAGCCACACTTGCAGTGTCAAGGCTTTCCTTTTTCCCACTCTGCTCCCCTGCCACCCACATTGCAAGTATCTGGGAGCGGACACAGCAGGACAGCTGGCCTGCACTGGCCAAAGGGATATTCCCTGCCACATCATATCACACTCAGACATAAAAACCTCAAGAAAAGGAGAAAGAAGAGGAGGGGCATTAAAAGGTTGTGGAGGGGTGACCCCAGCCAGCAGCTAAACACCCTCCAGTGCTTACACATTCCCTGCCCTCAGGATAGGGCAGAAAACAAAAAAAGCCAATGTGACAAAATTCATGGGTCAAGATAAAGACAGTTTAATAAGCGAAGAGGGGGAGGGAGCCAGTGATGCAAAAACAATCACTCACCACCTCTCACAAGCAGACTGATGCTCAAACAGTCTGAGCAACACTCACTTTGGAAGGTGCAACATCCCCTTCAGTTTCTATTACTCAATATATCTCTTTGGTCAGTTTAGGTCTCTGAAAAACGGAGAAAGCCTCAACACTGTGCAAGCGTTGCTCAACAAGAGCTGAAACACTGGTGTGTTATCAACACTGTGTTAGCCACAAATCTGAATCATGGCACCATACCGGCTACTGTACAGAAAATTAACTTCACACCAGTCAGACTCAGTACAACCACCAAGAAACAGCGTTGCCAGTTTTCTCATGAAAATGTAGAAAGATGACTAATGGAGTAATTTGTTATCCATGGAATAAACAGAAAGATCCACAAAAAAGTTAAATGGTTTACCAAAGTCCATGGGAAAATACTTCCTCATCACATAGTCAACATGATTCCTGCAATACGTATGCAATACAAGTGCTATATATTGGGACCTTCAAGTGAACACCTAAAAGACTACAGGCTGGCTCTTCTGCAGAACTGATGCAAGAGAACAAAATAATGAAAGCAGACCTCTGTATGACAGACTGCAAACACAGCCTGTCGGTCATACTCATCAACAGAAACTTTAAGCATTTACATAAAGAGTGGTGGAAACACACACAAAAGGAACAGGTTGGTGGAAAAAATAAGCCTACGAGCACAGACTAGGAGATTCCTGAGAAGTACCCAGGACCTCTTCCCTATGATCACGGGCAGTAATGTCTTCTGGAACACAAGCAGACATACTGTTGCTTATATAGGTTATAGTGGTCCCAGTCCCATGTATAGATATTCAAAATGTCAGAGAAATAAAACAAACTTCCTCCATTTTGTGTTTCCTTACTATTCTTTAGCTTCTTTCTTTTGTACAGAAAATCTAGGTCTATAATTTATTGAGACTGTAACTGTAACCAATACTCTGTAGACAAAGAGTAGATTGCTTTCATTTTCTATTTTATTCCAATTACAATCACAAAAATTGTAAGAGAATATTAAAAATACTCTACTATCAAGGACAGTTTTGTAAAGATCTATTCTAATGCTAATACCAGATTTCAAAAGAGATACCTTAAAAGCATTTATTTGGAACAGCTTAATATAAAAAAAGCTAAAAGTTAATGGGAACTGTTGAACATATGAATTTAAACAACAAGAAACACTTCTTAAATCTGAAATTTTCACCTTGAAGACAACACTGCATTTTTAGATAAGTCACAAAGACAGAACTCTCAGCACCAAGAAATGCTTATAAATAGTTTCATTATCTTGCATAAATTCATACTTTGTATATCTCTGTTCTGGATTCAATGCCATATTTGTTGTTTTTTCAGCCACTTCCGATTACTCCATACAACAAAGCCATATTAGTCTTCACATACTTAAAGATTTCTTTCTTACAGTGTCCCCATGAAATGAACTAATACAAGAATTAAAAACCCCACAAAGTTATTCCCTCTTTCCCACTCCTAATTTATTGCCCTCTCCAGTAGATCTCTAGAGGATTTTGGCAGTTACTATCTTCATGTTGTGGCCTTATTACCTCGCATTGCATACTTCATTAGATGCTTGAACTTCCATGAAGTTTAGCAACTTGCAGTACATACTGAGTTGGACTGAATTTACGCCTAGGAGCATAGTACAAATACTCCAAAGCATGCAAGAAAAATGAAGCCTTCAAATCTATTCAGGTTCTCTTTCAGGAGCAAGATCTCTGCAAACTAGGTACCGAAATATTAAAAAAAATTTCTAAAAGCATTTTGTCATAACTTCATGCCGCTTAACTTTACAATCTTGTTTTCTGTTCAACATCATGGAAAGAATCTTCTTCAGATAAATGTAATTTATATACATGCCTCAAGTGAATCCAGCACTCTATTCTAATCTAAAGTAGTAGCTTGCTTAATGTAGTAACTTTCTGAAGATACATTATTTAATGCTGCAAAACCATTTGAGACTGATAAGAGTTCCACTAATTTGCTAATTAGTTTGACATCACCTAGAGTGCGGGCTCCCAGCCTGTCGTCCTCCTAATAAGCCATGTAAGTAGAGAAAGGGCAATCCACAATTTATAGTGTGAAGAAACAGGTTTGCAGAAGAAGGACAATAATTTGAAAGAAACTACGGTGAGGCTTCTGCTAGCTTTAAGAATTTGCTCAGTTACAAGTAAATACTATGCAAGTTAGGGAACATCGTTAGTATACTATTAAGAAAACTACAGTCTCATAATCATAGCAGTAATAATTATCAGGAGCAAGTTATACAAATTCTTTACACAAATACAAAATACGCACAATTCATTTTACTGTTAAAACTTACCTATTATAGTATCTGCCTCCCATCATAAACTGATTGTTTGATGTTGGACATATTTTAAAACGCTGAATGTTTTCACTGGTCCGAAAATAAAGTGAATAATCACCAGGTGTATTATCTGAAGGCCTCACAAGAAAACTGCACACCTGACCAACTGAAAAGATATTGTAATAGTGTTACTTCTCTTAGTGTTATATATGAGCCCTTACTAAATCTATTTCCAACGTAAATTAGCAAGAATTGCGCACTTCAAGAAATACAAAGTCTATGAGGTAAGTTCAGTGATCTTGAACTAGATGAACTAGTACTGAGATGCCAAAATTCATGCAAAA